TCAAAAATCACAGAAAAGCATTGCATTTTATATGACATGAGTGCATGTGTGTGTGGGTGTGTGTGTGTGTACGAGGGTAGAAAAGTAGCACAAGTTGCTTTTACTGTGTGTTCAACACTCTTTTCCACATTTCTACACACACACACACATACACATAGAAACACCGATAGCAATGCAGTAACGGTTGCCTCTGTCCCTTCGCTGGCTACAAGTTTACAAATGCAGTCAAGCCGAATCGAAAGGATGTGGCCCTTCCTTCTGCTAGCGATGGACACATGCGCGTGTAGAGAATTTGTAAGATTTGAAAATCTTATTAAATTAAAAATAAATATATAATATTCAATTTAAATTAATAATTTATTAATTAATATTCTATGTCAAAAGTCCGTACTGCCAGCCTGTCTGCTGTTATTAACAGATCAACTTAACATGGAGAGCTAATGTGCATATGTTAACTAATCAGAAGGCTAAATATTCTCTGTTAAACCATTTAAATGAAATACGAAATAATTTAAGTATGACAGAAAAATATACACATACATACATGTATTCAAATTCATATTTAAATATATGTATACATATGTATATTATAGATATATATTATAGATACAAATACATATGCATATGAACATCTCTTTTCTATCCTATTGGACAAGAACACGCTCTGCCTTTAGCTTAAGAGAGTTTCGATCGAGCCGAGTCAAACAACTGAGCTGAGCTGTGTTCGATCTTGAGTGAGAGCGATGGCATATAAACGACGAGCCTGTTACTCCACACGGTTAGTCGTGATCCAGAAGGCGAGGTGTGTGGGTCTTGGTTTATAAATTTTTTTTGGACAAATATTCATAGTTAATATAAATAAATATAATATGTAATATGATATTATACTTAAAAAAAAATAGGCACAAATTGTTATGTTGATAATCATAAAAATAATCTTCATAATGATCATAATTTAAAATTAAATTAGACCATGATGATATATGATAATAAAATTCATTTATTTTAATTTACATATTTTTATCGAATGTTTAATATTAATTAAACTAACTTATCATGTGGTGTCTTCCCTTATAATTGTTGTATTCTCTCCAACTTTGCCTCATTTGTAACATATATAGAAACTTATCCTGTTGAGCGATGCCTACTCACGCGCTCATCTCTATGAATTACAGAGCGAATCGTTGTTTGTGGGAAGTGTAGCTGGGGTGGCGAGGCGGGGTCTGCTCTCACTTTATCTTTGTGCGCTGGCTGCTCTGCTCACGCTCATCGTTCATATGAGCATGTATTTGCGTAACAGCTTAGTATGTAATTGTATTAGTCGAGGAGTAACCAGACTAAGGCGGCTTCCTGTGCGCCATGGCAGCTGCTGTTGTTGCTGCTGTTGTTGCTGCTGTTGTTGCTGCTGTTGTTGCTGCTGTTGTTGCCGCTGTTGTTGCTGCTGTTGTTGCTGTTTCTGTTATTGTTGTTGCTGCTGCTGTTGCTGTTGCTGTTGTTGGCATTTTCGTTGTTGTTTGCGTTGGTTGGGCTGTTGATGCTGCTGATGCTGTTGCTATTGCTCATTTGGCGTAAACGAGAAGCGAGCGAGCTTTGCTGTTTTTGCGGTTGAGCTCGCTGCTGCATTTAAGCGTTACGCACTTCCTGCACAGAATGTTATTACTTCCGTTGCCTTTTAATTGATTTTGAAGGTGCGTAGCGACAGGTGAGGTGAGGGTACAACTATGGCCAGGTGCAGGTGCAGACGCAGAGGCGAAGGGGCTCTCTCTCGCACAGTTAACGTGACTGGCACCGGCAAATTCCTGCGCCCGTTGGCCATTAGCAAATTGTGGGTTAAGTGCTTTGTATGCTCGGCAATGCCACGCCTCACACACACACACACACACATACCAACACCCCCACCCCCCGCATGCACTCAATTCCATTCCATTGCAAACGCCATTTCGGCCAATGCAGCTGTGCAAATTGCTTGACGCACTCAGTTTGAGCCACGGCTGTGGTTTATGGCTCTGCCTTAACCGCACTTTCGTTTTGTGCGGTTTTTGGGCACTTTTTCAATGTTATGAGGCTGTTATCCTTGTTAGCCATGCGTAAAAGTTATTAGTCGAATGCACTCACTAAGCCGTCTCGCTTCAGCGAGCAACTGACTAGATAACTCTTAGCTCTCACCTCGCTTTTCCTTACCCCAAGCCCCCCCCCCCCCCCCAAGCCTCTTCCTGGAAATCCTAAAACCCAAACAGCACTTAAGCTGCTGCCAACTGCAAGAGTTTTGGTTTTGCTTCTGGTTTCGGCTTTGAGCTTGATTTCAGAGTTTACTTTATGCCCCCCCACCCCGTGCTAAGTGCAAAGGTGGCACAACTCAAGGTGAGTCTAAGCAGAGCAACAACTTTATCACATTTGATTTATCAATTCGCAGTTTTATTAAGCTACAGCATTCATTAACAAACATTTTAGTTCGCTCACTCAATCTCGATGCACAATGCACAAGTTGTGCGAGTCACCGAAACGTGGGCGATAATAAATCATTCAACAGCTGCGACTGACACGAACAAATCGGAATAAAGTGCATCAAATTCAAACTGACAACGCATTTGACATTAATTAAATCACAGTTTTAGTGAAAGCAATTTGCTCGTTCGCCGAAGTGCGAAGGGCATATTGGTATTATATTTAGTTTTCTATTCAATGCATTTCGATGGACATGTTCTATAATCTTAAATACATAAATATGTATGTGTATCCATGACGAGTCCTGTAAAACCAGAGTTATTGAAACAGTAAGTGGTCCTGCCTTGCCTGTCTGTAAGCTCTATAATCTTTTATAGTACCACGCCTTCTGGAGTTTAACTAATCGAAGAATATTATAAGTATCATAGTATTAGATCAGATATATCCCAGTTTAGCAAATGATGATCATATACATACATAGCAATAAATTAAATAGTATTTTCACTAATTTTCACGGTGTAAAAAATCCAAATATATTATTTTACTATTATATTATTATTTATTTGTTTTTATTATTCATTTATTTTATTTGTTTATTTAATTTTCATTAAATTTTCATTATTCTTAATCTTGAACGAGTATTATGCAGTTGGTAGTGCCTGAATGCAATTTATTTATTTTTGTCAAATATTTTTTCATTTATGCAATTATGAAAAATATGTATAAATTTATTTCCTTGAATTTGTTAATAGATTTAGTCATATTTCTGCATTTTTCTAATTAATAAATATAGACAAATTTATTTTCTTGAATAGATTAGATTGATTAAATACACATTTATTTTTCATATTTTTTAGACAGCATAAATACATTTTGTTATAGCCAAGTTGGGTTCTTTATTTTTTTAAGCTTATCTAAACTTTTAACATGTGCATAATGAATATTTCTATTATATCATAGTCTTTTCACTTCATATATATTAAATTTGTGCATTTTAATCGATCTCTGCTCTAACTTATTTTGATGAATTTAATTTTGCTTAAAAACTAACAAATATAAAATTAAAATAAAATAAATTGAATTTAAAGTCAAAGGCCTCAGCTTCTAGTGCGTAGTTCTTAACTTAGTTTTGATTTCATATTAATTTAAATCTCTAATAAATAAATCATGGTAAATCAATCCAAACGTAAACAACATTATTGTTCCCCAAATGTTCCAATCATCTCAATTGATTCCAATCAACAATTGAATTTTTGAGTCTGTTCCAAACTCCAAGTCTTCCACTTAAAACTAGATGCGTGAGTACCCCAGAAAGCAATCATTCATGCTAAGCTACGATATCTGCACTGCGATTGTCATCGAACATCCTTTGACCCATTTTTATGAAACAACCTTCAAACGTGTGTGATTTTTCGCATTTGATTTTCCACAATTTTCTGTGACGCGACACCGAAAACATTTTCGAAAAAAAAAAAAACACAAACATTTTCGAGTGAATCATGCTGTCTGCTAATTGACTTCGAGCCGCAGCATCCGCGATTGTTTTCACATTAGCTATGATTTTTCACACACACACACACAGACACAAACAGGCAGACACACCACACTGCACCACACACTAACGCAGAGTTCATTTTTCGCTGCGGCATGATAAGTGAGCTGCTATGAGTGGGTCAATTAGCGGGGAAACTGCATACTGCATACGCTCCAATTCATTTGCTGATGCGGCTGCTGTTGCTACTCCTGCTGCTGTTACTGCTACTCCTCCTACTCCTGCTGTGGTGTGTATTTGGGTGTGAAAATTAATGGTTCGTCTGACACAAGTGGAAAAGCGAAAGTTGCCTCTTAATTAACTAGTCTCTCTAATATATTTGACTATATATCGTGTGCATCTATTTATTTTGTGTTGCCATGTGCAGAGCATAAAACGTTACTTTATTACAGAGTTTGGCACTTGGAGTGTTACCAATTGGGGCTCATTATAGCAGCTGTTATTCGGCAGTTGTCTATATATAATATTGTAATAGTTCTAAGCAGAAGCGGATCAATCACATTCAGGTCATGGCGCCAGCAGTGGGAGGGGGCCCTTAAAATAGAGGTCAATATTCCAGTGATAAGAATAAAATATTATAGGAACTTGATTTTAATGAGAATCAAGAATACATAGTGTATATTAATTATAATATTAAATAGGTAATAGGTAATTAGGTATTTGGCCTTGGCCCCTTTGCAACCTATGATAATCCTGAGTTTTGCATTTTGTCACAAACTAAAATTAAATTACAATAAAATGTAAAATTCTGTTGATACCTTGACAAAATTAATAAATTACAGATAGAGTTAATAAATTCAACATTTAAGGCAACTGATCCGGCCAAATTCCACTTTCTGTAGTCTTGATGGGTATATTTACTATAAATGTAATTGGATATTTTTGGAATATTTCAGTTATAAATCTTGCATAGTATTTCCAGCATTCTTTCACCCATATGTATACACACATAATTTACTTGGGAACAAATCACATCTGAATACAAAATATCATTTATTTGCAGAGAAATTTGGACAACCGTACTGCCGCCGGAAACGAAAGATGTCTATACGGCCATTTTGGGCGTGACCAAGGCGAGTCGCATCGACGAGGGCGTCTACAGCTGCAAGGTGAGAGATTCGTTAGCTCATTCAGCTGCGAGTTGATTTATATACCCTATATGAGTTAGTAAGTAACTGATTTATAACTTACTTCGGCCGTGAGCCTTCTTCTAGTAAGCACACCGAGTGCCCCCCTCCTCCAACTCGCTAGACATAAACATGTTGTTCCAACATTTGGCTCTAGAAAAGCAATTAATGTTGGCTCGGATCTGGCTGCTGTTGCCATTGCTGTAGAAACATGTCAATAATTTTTACAAGCCATTTGCGTAATTTGTTATTTGCCAAGCCATGAACACAAAAATGGTTTACCGGCCCGTATTTTTTGACGCGGAGGCCTAATGGCGTGGAACAGTTTAAAGACTTGGCAAGTGCTATTAAAACCCGAAAATATTCTGCAATTGGCCAACACGAATCCCGCCAAGGACTCAACAGTTGAGCGCATAGATTAAAATTTATTTCAATGCATAAAAAATGTAAATAAAATGGGGAGTGAGCGCACACACACACATGCATACACACATAGACACACACACACACAAATCAAAATAACCCAGTTTCAGTCCACTTAATCTTCTCCTCCTTTTGGCACTTTGCATATTTTAATTTAAACGCCAAGTTTTGGCTCAAAAAAAGGCCTCTGCGGCAAACACAGAGCCCGGCCAAGCTAAAAGTAATTTTGCGGCATTTTTGAGGATGTTTTTTATTTTTGTTGTTTTTGTTTTTTATTGTTTAGAATTCCACTTCTTCGGGCCCACCCGCGCGCCTCTCTGTTGATATGGCTTAACGCATGGCAATTAAACTGATTAGTCGTCCAGGAGCTCTACTCTTTCCGCATTAAAATCCAGCAGCTCAACATTAACAACAACACTCCAGAATTGCCCAGACAATTCGAGCTAACAATTTAATTGGGCTTACGAGTGGATTACCTGGCACACACGCTCCCACATAGGGGGACTCGTAAACCCTCCTGCTGAAGCTGTCTGACGGAAATGTCAATTATAATTTCAGAATTCCAAGAACATGAAGACGCAAAAAAAATACCAAAAACAGAAATTGTCAATTAAAATATATCTAATTATGTATAGACACTTTGCCAGGAGAATTATAAAGCTTTGAAAATAAATCCTGAAGAGAAGACTTCTTTCGCCGTAATTTTTAAATTAATATAAGAAGTCTTTTATTATTTAGCCGACAATCTTCTTTTCAACTTTCTTATTTTCACAAGAATTTAATTATTACTCTCTTTTGAACATAGCTGGCATATATAAATATATGTATGTACATTTGTATCTCTTTGTATAATGAAGATATGTTAATTATATATCCAGTAAACGAATGAAGACGAAAATGTATAGACATCAGGATAATAATAAATCAGTATAATAATAATATAGTCCCAGTAATCTTTCAGAATTTACTCAATCATCACATTGATTCTCTGTCTTTTAACAGTGCTTCTTCTTTTCTGTTAGCAATGAATTGTATTTTGAGCCTGAGTCCTTTAACAGTTTGACAGCCGATTGGCCTGATAGCCATCTCGCTCACATACTGCATTTCTCCCTAAAACAAAAAAATATATAGATTGTCCCCGATTAATCACGTATTTTTTAGTGTATTTGACTGTGTCTTTCTCACTCTCTCATGAGCAATGGGCTGCTGGTAGCACTCTTAAAAGACTCATACTATCAGTCAATTCGACTCAGACCACGAATGTGTGTTACGCTGTCTTTTAACAGTGAACTCACTCAATCGAGCGCAAATTCACTCGGAGAACACTCTTACAACTCTGTCCGAGCTCCACGTTTGAGCAATGTTAGATTATGCAAATTCTGTTAACTTAACAGTGAGAGGTCATGTTTAGCAGATTTGTGCGTTCGCTTTGCTCTTTGTATGAAAATTTAGCAACTATGAATCTATTATCTCTCTTATCTATGACTCTGTTTTCTCTCTTAATGCCAGTGAACTAAATCAAAATGAAAGTCCTATTAATTAATGTCTATATAGCATTTCTTAGAGACTTATAAAACAACATAAACGTATATTTTGAGTTCCTTTTATTTAATTCCTGTTTAAACAATCAAGCCAAATATTAAATTTGGCAAAGCTGTAAAACATTGTTTAGTCCACTTTTGTGTTCCATATTAGTTACTCTAGCTGAGTTATTAAAGCTGCAATATTTCTTGCTGTTTCAGCTGCACTTTCGGTTCTCAGTGCCATAAATTCATTCGCTTTAAGACCGCAAAGAGCAGCAGCAGCAGCAGCAGAGGCAGAGCAGAGGCAGCGGCAGAGTAGAAGCAGCAGCAGCAGCTGTTGCTCGACCGCTAAGCTAACGAGCGAACATTTTCTTAAAGCTTCGCACCAATTGTATTTAATGCCTTGTCCGAGCACCCCGCCGCACACACAGCCCCAATGGGGGGTGTTCGTTTGTTGGGCTGTGTTTTCTGGCTCCTGCTCGACGCCCCAACACTTTGTGCTTTAGGGTCCTCACTCTCTTTCTCTCCCTCTCTCTCACTCTTCCACTCTCCCATTATGCCTTTTGCCGTACGCCTAATGTGCTCCTCTTATTACTGTCGCAGTGTGGTCGTCGTAATGTTGGCATCACATCAAAGGCGAGCACTTCGGGGCTGGGCTCGAAGGTAACGGAACCCCCTTGAAGCCCCCTACACACAAAGCAGCTGGCTGAGTTTTACGTTAATCAGCGCATTCTGCTCACATTTTTATTCCCTAAACCCATTGAGAATGGGAAATCAGGGTATATTGGTTTTCTTCAAATGTATATAACAGTCAGCAGGAGGCGTAGCAGATCCTATATGAACAAGTCGATCTGAGAAGCTATAAGAGACTTGTAATTATGTTATTGATATCTTGCTATCGATTGAAAACCTTATTGAATGTCAAACTCTCTAATGTTTTAAGTCAGAGTGCCCAAATTATATATTTTATAGAATTTCGTTTTATTTTTAATTTTTTATATGTTGGAGGCAGGCCCCAAATTCACCCCCTTTCCGCTAAATTCGCAAAGAAAAAGTTTTTTAAATATATAATATTAGTATATACATATATCATATACGAGTAATATCAGTTCTTCAAACAGTTCAGGGTATCTCGTAGTCGAGTAGATTCGTCTAGATCACTCTTACTTGATTTTTCATTATTATTATTTTATTTTATTTTATTTTTTGCTCAACGAACGTAGAATCCCCAAAGGTTGATTGTTGCCTTCTTAGGTCTGCTTCTGCTTCTACGGCTTCTGTTGACTCAAAACTGAAAAGAAATGAATGAATCTTTTGCGACTAGCACCGCCTCGAGCTGCGATTGCTGCGATTGCTGCGCCGCACGTCAATAATGTGTTCCAGACCCTGTCCTTGTCCATTAGACGCTGGGGACTTTCTTTTCATATTCTTGACTCAAACACACACACACACCCATGCACCCATACACATAGCCATAATAATACCCGCGGGACTATAAGCCCAATGATTATTTATTTATTGATATTAAACAGCAATTAGTTCATTAACTTTGGGAAATGCCTCGAAGCAGATGACTAACACCTTAACTTTGGCTACTTAGCAGGCAATATAAATAAATAAAACTCTTCACTCAGGAGCTAAACATTTGCATAATTTAAAAATAATATTGAAATATTTTAAATATAAATATATTTAAGTATTTTAGGGAGCAAACGCGTGAAAAATTAACAAGGTAGAGTGAATTAGATGGAATTAAACTAAAACGGATAGGATAAAACTGCCAGACCACAAGATAGTCTTAAGCTGAGGCGGTGTCCTTTAACTTTACCAGCTGGAGCTGTATTAATTCTGACTGAAGCACAAGCTCAGTCCCATGGAAACTTAGCTGTAATATCGAAGTTGCACGGGAACTTGGTTCAGAAGGATCTATTTATATATACATACATTCTTAAAATGTTGTAACTTAGGTTTGGAATAAAATTGATTAGAGAACTTTTTTTGTGAGTGGTTTCTTCTTCACTTTTTAGATTTTATGTCTGATTTGATCATAATATATCATAGCTCACAAATAACTGTTAACGCTTTGAGCGAACACGCTCTGCTTCAAAGATTACCGAAAAAAAAGTACACACACTCGCTCTGACTCATAGCAAGAGCCTTGAGCTATTTGCAGGATGCTCTTTAAAGAGCTTCATTAACGCTCGCACAATGACGCTCAGTAAACGTTATCACTTTCACATACGCATGCACACATTCACACTCACGTAAGCTGTTAGTGTGTTTAGCGAGCACGATTGAGTGTCTTTTAACAGTGCACTGTTAGTGCATATACGAGGGCCACTGTTAATAGACATCACTCAATCAAAGTCTTGGCGTAAAGAGAACGGAGAATTCGAGAGAACGAAACGCGCGTGAGGCGTAACTCTGAGCGCGATTGTTCTTGTGAAAGGTCAGTTGCACTCAAACTTTTTGCTCAAACTGTGAGCGAAGAACACATACAACTGTATGTACGTACATATTTGTGAACTTCGCGAAACACTTGTCGGAGCTCTGTAATACACACATTGTTGTTCCCAGCGTTACATTTTGCATATTAATTTAAGAGCGACAGTGAAGCCCATTTAATACAACTACAAATTATAAAATAAAGTCTAATTCGTAGTCCTACTTATCGAATGCACTAATGTGACTCATTCCAATTTTCCCAAATTGCCATTAGTTTAATGTACCTCGCCATAAAATTGATAGTTAAATAACAAGAAAAGAACGTGAAACTATATCAAGTGCCGTTGCAGCTCCAATATAAATTGCATTGAAAAAATATATACGTTTTATATATAAAGTGAAAAAAAAAAAAAAATTAAATGGTTTATTTAGACTCAGCTCTGCTTCTTCTTCATCTTCGTCTTCTTCTTTAGCTTCTTGATGTCATGCACTTTTCAGTTCGTAAAACCATTTTTATCTGGCCGACTATAAAAGGCAGCAATTTTCAAGCATCGGCATCATTAACATTGCAAATTTCTGTGGCATGAGCATGTTGCTCCTTAGCCATTTGGCGCAGAGCATTTTATTGGCCAGAAAAAGACGGGCCAAAGCGAGCTTAGACTAGAGACTAAATGACATTAGCCATACACGTACAATGTGCGGTTTAACGACTTCGACTGTTAATGAGTCGCAGCTTACAGATACAATCGTTTGATAGGCGAAGAGAGGCGATGGTAGGTGGAATGAGATGGTAGGTAGGAATATACGTACCATCTTCAGGCAGTAAAATCGCATTAGATCATAAAATGGCGAAGCTGTCGCTGGATTTGAGCTGTTCGCCAAATGAGTTAATTGCCAATTGGATTTTGTGGCTGGCAAGGATTTGTTGACGTTGCACTGTCGTAAAAGGATATCCAATGCAAAAGGCAGCTCCAACGCCTACTCTCATCTGTTGGAATCGTGGCGTGAATTTAAAACTCAACTTGAATTTGAAATGCCATAAAAGAAATATCATCGATTTGCTTGCGCTCAAAGTTCTGTCTATCAAATGATTCCGGCTCAGTTGCAACAAAGTGCCGCTGCCGGAGCCGTAACCGGAGCCGGAGTTGTAGCAGACGCGAACACAGACACAAAGGCAGATGCAAAGGCGGTCTCGATGCCTGCCACATGCCGGCCCCGAGGTGTGATCCTGGCGTTGCACAGTGGGGCTTAATTTGCATTACAGAAATATTTGTTATCTTGATTTGTCTTCATATGCCAATCAGAATAATATTTAGAGTTTAAAAATGCGGCTAAAAATGGGGATGCTGCACAGCTTTCTGACCAGCGACAGGAATTTGATTTTAATCAAATAATCCTTAACCAAGAAGACTATAAATATCTCAGTTGAAAGTGCATAGGTAGCCTCTGTATAAAGAAGACTGTTAATGCCAGATTCCAGTTACAGGTTCAGCTCCTCCCCCACATAGCCGGACTATGCTATTAACAGAACTATGTTAATAGCATAACCACTTCCTCTCGGTGCTTGGCTCTCCGCTAAGTACCCACACTCTCTTACTTTATTGTGAAGCAAGTACTATGTTTTTTCTTACCGCCATCTTTTCCGAGCAATTAATAAAGTTGACAAACTCTACAAGTTTCTTGTATGTTATTCTTTTACCTGGACGCCACCACTCAAACAAAGATAAGGCTCAATCAAAAATAAAAATATAAAAAATAATCATGAATAAATAAATAATAATAAAAATACTTTTTAAGAATAATAAATAAATAAATAAAACAAAAAAATTATTTAATAAATCAAAAAATTAGTCCACATTCTCCATTGGATTTTATAATCCAATTGTGACATTTTGATTTTCGACACATTTGGCGGGCAGAGGCCCCACTGTGCATTGCCGCTCGTTAGTTTGTCTACTCTTCCATTTAAATTTGAAACGGAAGCTCTCAGAGAAAAGCAGCAACATCATCATCATCATCATCATAATCAACATTATCCTAATGCCCGGTAGGAGCTATGCAGCTCACATCGTATTCCCTTGGAGCAGTTGCAACAAGAGCTCCACGTCTGCTAGTCGCACACTCGAGTGCAGCATGTTTGTGCCAGATGACAGCCAAAGCTGTTCGCTTTAAGTAGCCACGGAATCGGGTTAGTCACCCGCCGCCCCGCCGCCGAGTGCCTTAACGGCTTAGACACCCATCACATATCCATTCAGCACACGCGCCCACGCCTCGTGCAATCAGACAATGTCAGATCCAATCAGCTGCCGGCCAGAGAGGGGGCCAGAGCGAGACAGAGAGTTGGCCAGGAGCAGTCTATTAAATTCGAGTAAACGCTCTGGCAACAATTGTTGACACATGGCACACACTGGCAAGCGGTCTCCTTCGAAAAGGACAACTGCAAAAGGCTCAGTGCCATCCGAGGCCAAACATTGCTGTTGGTAATATTGTTGTCGATGCTTATCAGCAGACAATGGGCTAGGTGGCTGATGCAGTGGGCTGAAGCCTCATACATATGTCGTCACTTGGCTAAATTCTCGTCTCCTTCTTCTTCTCCTTCTCAGGTCACCGACTGGGGCGTCGAGCAGTGCCGCTCCCTGCACATCCACATCAAGAGTCCGCCCCGGCTGCGCGTGGATCCGGCCAGCGTGACGTTGCAGCGCGGCGATTCGCTGCGGGTGCGCTGCCTGTCGCCGGGCAACGACGACATCAAGCGATATGCCCAGCTGGGCTACAGCTGGACGCGCAACGGGGTGCTCTTCCAGTCGGACGCTGCGACGGCCATGTGGGAGGATCTCTACCCGGACGGCAGCATTCTGAAGATCAACAACATCCAGAAGTCGGCGGAGTACGCTTGCCTCGTGTCGAACAGCGTGCGGCCGGTGTCGCGCAGCGTCTACATCAATGTCATCGAACGGAATGCTGTGCACGTGTGCCTGGCCGAGTCCAGCTTTGGCGTCCATTGGCCCACCAGTGCACCGGGCGCACCCATCATCACCGACTGTCCGCGCGGCTTCGAGGGGCACTCGCGTCGCATCTGCGAGCAGCGGGACAACGCCGGCAACTCCAGCTGGCTCCTGCCGGACTTCTCCAGCTGCGTGCGGGACGAGCTGCTGCTCATCTACAACCGATTCAGAGCTCTCAGTGCGGGATTCCAGCAAACGAACTCATCGAACATACTGAAGGCCTGCTTCGAGTACACGCTCCAGCGGCGACAGAGCTTCCTGCCCGGCGAGGCGAGCTTCCTCATCGACATGCTGCACGAGGTAAGTGGGAGTCTGTCTATGTGGGGGAATCAGTATTTATGCTTGTATGAATTGCGCCCGTGTGACTCCCATATCTCTAGCTTGTCTGTGGTGCAAAGTTTATGCTGATTTATGACAGCCCTGGTTACGCCTTCCTCGGAGATTCTCACGATTGCCACTTCAGCTGCTGTGGCAGTTTGTCTTGCCGAAATTGCATAATATTGTAACGAGAGAAAAGTTTTTACCGCTTTTCGTATTCCCCAAATTCAATTTTAAGCAACTGGTATCAGAGCGCACGGGACACACTGCAAAAAAAAAGAAAAAAAAAAAAAATAAGAAACTCTTAAACACACTTAAGCCTCGGCGCTAGCAAAACGCAAAAACAGCTCAAAGCGTTACAAACTACCTGGACCTTAAGATCCATTGCCACCGCCTCGAGAGTCGAACCGAAGTGGGTCGAGCGGGCCAAACCGAGGCGAAAAGACTCTGCAAACAAGCTTGCCAAACTATTTTTACCCGTAAATGAATGCAAGAAAAGCTGACTGAGCCGAGAGAGTGGGGAGCAGCGGAGCAGCGAAGCAGCTGAGCGAGTGGGCGCCTTGCAATTTTTCACACAATTTTCACAGGCAAGCTACAGTCAAAGGAAAGTTTGCTCCGGGCCGCATGGCAACAATTTTTCATTTTAATGCGCACACAAATTTCCCGCCTAACGAATGGCCGTGAAGAGTTTTTCGGGAGTCGCCTTTTTATGCACTGAACCCATTGAAAATTGGAAATCGGGGGTATAATGCTTTTCCGAAGATGTATGCGACAGGCAGCAGGAGGAGGCGTGGCAGGCAGCATAAAGCATATATACATGGATATGGATCAGGGCGACTGGATGAGTCGATATAGCAATGTCAGTCTGAGCACCCTTTCGTCCGCCAGTCCATCCGTCCGTCTCTTTGTCCTTTCTTCTATCTGTTATTCTGTCTGATTTTGCGTGCGTCTGTCCTTCTCGTAAGACAGAAAAGTGTTTTGACTACTAATATTTAACTAGAAACGGTTAAAATTTTCTAAATTTTGTAGTTCTACTTCTATTTACAATAAATTTTCATATTAAAAAAAAAAGTAATATAAAAATGTCTATACCAACTCAGGCAAGCTTTTAGTTTTCAGTTTTCCGATAGCTCAGTATTATCGGTAAAAATCTGTTTATAATTGGACATCGTAATTGAAGCAGAATTCCCATACCATTATAGCTATATACTTCAGATTAATTATAAGAGTCTGTATAATGAACATGGAAATTTAGAACATTTCATATATCGCACTAACCATTCTCTCAAGCTTTTTAAGATAAAAAAAAAAATAAATAAAACTATTCTTTTTTTTTTTTTAATTTGAATATTTTATTAACAAGTTAGAAGAAAAATTAGGCAATAATTAAGCTCCCATAGTACAGCTCTGACTGCAGGCCAATCTCTGTTCCTGCGTCGACTGCGCAGTAAGCAGAGCGTGGGCTTATGCATTGTATTTTAATATAGAAAGAATCATAGAATTATTAGAGCAACAGCTCTTCAGCAGATTTTAGGGTATCTGCTAGTCTGGCAGTCCCAGCACTTGCCTCTCTTTTTCTGGATTTTATTTTATTTTGGTATTTCGCTTATTGCTGGGCACTTGGCTCTCTGTTGCTGCTACTGCTGATGCTTGACTATTTGCTTGCCTATTTTGCAGCTCGACACCTATTTGCAGCTGAAGGGCACACAACTGGAGCGTGAGATGGCGGCGGAGATAATACTCCGGATTCTGGATAAAGTCATGCAGAATGCGCAATCCCTGAACAGTCAACAGGTAAGCTGTCAGACAAAGTCTACATGGGTATACATATACAGTGCAGTGCCGCATGCCATCAGCCACTCCCTAAATGGAGGCGTGGCCAGGCCGGCACTTGGGCTGCACTCGTGCATAAATTATGCGAAAAGAGGCAGTCGAGCGTTCGGGTGTCATAATTTATAACCTACAGCCATATTCAATATTTGCCAGCCTGCTTTTGTGGCACACGCCATCTCTATCTCTAGCTGTCTCGCTCTGGCTCCCTCTCGCTTCTAGATTTATTACACAGAGACTCTAAATTGGACTGGCAAGCCTTATTGTACGTTCGGCAGGCGCATATATATTATTTTGTGGCTCTACTTTTATTTAGCTTGTACCCGGGCCACAATTTACATTTGTCTGGCGCACACACATGCTGGCCCGCCTAGCCAGCCACAGAATTGATGTTCATGTTTGCGGGTAATGAATACCTTCTACGAAATCCATGTATTTCAGCCTTCTTGGCTGAAAAGGTCAATTTGTTGTAGTATCTAGGCCAGCCAGTGGGGAAATGGAGCTGCAACGCCAAATGGGGCTGAGTGTGTTGGGTCAATAATGTATTGGCTATCATATCACTCGGCTAAACGAGCTCACGCTATTATATTGATGCTCTACACACATACAATACAATGTATACAATAAATTAATGAAAAAAAAATAGCATGATAAATAAAAATTAATAAAGTAAATAAAGGAAATATAGAAAATAAAATAAAAAATAATAATAAATGCAAAAAATTAAAATAAAAGAATTAAAATTAAATAAAGTAAAATAATGAAAAAATAAAAATAAGATAAAAACCCTAAATCAAATAAAATAGATAAATAATAATAAATTAATAGTTGGAATCAAATAAAAATCATAAGTGAAGATAAATGAATATTTAAAATTAAAAAATTAAAATAAATTAAGTGTGATGAAAAAAAAATGTTAAGTTAAATTTATTACATTAAAAAAAAGTATATAATAAATATTTCGAATTTACCAACAAGATGAATAAGATTAAAAAAAAAATTAAATTAAATAAATAAATAAGAAATGAATAAATAAATATATAATATGAAAAAAAAATACAAGCACCATTTCTTATCCGATATCCGAAGACAATATTACAATATAGGCCCTATATGTCAATCTACTTGACCAAGATATTCCTCATGATAAATTTGTAAAATCCGTTTTTAAAGGCTTTTTTTTTTTAAATATTCACATTTATATATTTATTTATAAGAGTAATAAAGCATAGTTCAATAAAAGGACTTTACTGTTATATAAATATAGAAAAAATATGTATAGAAAATATTCAAAATGAACGAACAACATGTTGCTTTTGATCCTGACGACTGGCGATGAATATGCATATGAATATATACATATGTATTTATATTTATTTCTTGCCTAAATAATCAAGTACATCGAGGTGTTGTTTCGCATTGATTTTCACACATTTCGAGTGCTCTTCATTCATTCCGTTCGGCTATTGCTCATTTCTGAGCACTCGAATGTGCCAACAACTTTGTTGTTAATTAGCGGCCATCAAAACTGCGCACTTATGAGCCCGGCTAATGAGCCTTTCTCGCTGCTTCTCATGACAGCTGACTGAGCCACAAAACAATGAACATTGCCACTTCCTGGCGGCTGGCCACAGACAAAGAGCGAAACAGCCACCGCCCACTCCATGCTCTGACGATGATGAGGGTGATGATAAAAAGGTGTGCTGCTTCCCTTCTGATCTTAACGCTCAGCCAGCGTCCTTGGATGTGGGTGGGACTCAGTGCGACTGAGTGGGGCTCAGTGGAGCTTGCCCTTTCCACTCGGCTGGCTCGGTTCGTCTTTCGCGTCGCACACTTCACTTACATAAGTTTTTAAGTGGGCAGGCGTTGGAAGCTACGCTTTGCCGAGGCTCATGTTTTATTCCTTGAGCACACTTTGTTTTCGCGAAGTGCGGCATAAAAGTAACAGTAACAGAAGCAGATGAAGCAGCAGCAGAAGGAGCAATAAGAGCAGCAAGCTGCCAGTTGTATGCCACATGCATCAGGACTCAAATATTGGTATGCAAATTTATGTGAGTGTTGATTGCAGCTGTTGGCCGTATTATATTGGACGCTGGCATTAAAAGCCGTCGCCTTAACTCGCCCTGGCTCGCCTCACGCTCAAAGCAAAGAGGCCGTCTCAATGTCAAGGACCTCGGAGGCGCAGCTTCATAAATGAGCCCAACTATGCGGCATAAAATATGAAGTGTCTGCGCGAGCGAACTAGCTCCATTTTAATATTCATCGCTCCTGGATCTTGCGGCAAGCACGGAAATTAAGTAAGTTTTTACTTGACTTAAGAAGCGGCATGACGGCAAAGGCATCGAAAACTTTTTAATGCGCTGAAATTAATTTTGTTTGTGCCGCAGCTCAAGCTCAGCTATGGCATTTCGATATTACGCGCCATATGAGTCGGAAACTTTATCACCCTGCCCCTGTCCCTGCCTCTGGACGCTTTTATGTTAAATTTTTATTAGCTGACGAAGCGATGGAGGAGAAATAAAAACCTTGCCTTCATAATTGGGTTGATTAAATGCCAGCATTTCTCAACTTTTTCCAACTTGCCAAATAGTTGGCATCGTTCTTATTTACTCGGCCCAAACTTTAAGCTAGTTACAAATACTTACTCCTCTCTCTCTCTCTCTCTCTCTCTCTTTTTGTTTGTATAGACTTTTAATTAGGAAAATTCAAGGTAAAATTGATTTTTAATTGCAGCCAAGTAAGGAGAGAATAGTTCAATACCTTCAGTCGAAGCCCGAAAGGCAGAAAATCAAATTGAAAGTTGTTCAGCTTTATTTTAACGCAATTTCGTATAGGTATATGGGAACATGAAAACTTACACAGCTCAAAAGTTTTGCTCTCAGTTTATGGAGACCCTTAGAGGGAGAGCTTAGTGGATGGAAATAATGGAGAGGATTAACAGTTGTGCAGAGTAATCTATGCGACTTCTTAAACAGAAGCAGATATATTGTATACTATTTCCTTCGAAGTTCATAATTTAAATAATTAAAATTTCAATGTATTAATGATTCCCAAGTAGAAATAAAATGTTTTCGTATATTTTGTACACTAATATTCTATCTACGTTTATAACTCAAATAGTTCACTAAAATGCAAAGAGAAGTACATATTTTATAAAAATTTCGTATATTTTCTACACTATTATCTCCATTATTCATTATTAAAATTATGCGAATTGCTCAAATTTGGACTTATTACGAATTCACTCAAAACAAGCAAAGGAAATATCTTTTCCTATATTTTGTACAATATTTATTATTTATTGTCTTTATAATTCAAATCATTTAAATTTTAAATTTTATTTCAAAATTAAACCAAACTACAAATAAATTTAATCGTTTATTTTCTACACGGTTGAAATAATATGTCAAAGTATTCAACATTCCTATTTCATTTGGAATTCACTCAACAACAATTTTTGATTTGATTGCAAAACTGAATTTCCTACTAGATTTCCTTTGCCTGTTTTTGTCTGTGAAGAAAACGAACAGGAGTAATATATTTTGCCAAAACTATAATTCAGCAGTTGTTTGAGTTGTCGATAAAATTCTGGTTTTGAAATATTCAAGATTATTTGTCATTTAAGCTTGATGCGCTTGACACGTGCCCAAAACGTGTAAATAGTTTATAGAAGTTGATTGAATACTTTAAGGAAATGAATGTAGCTACACTTCTGTTGTTTCTTTACTTGCAAGTGATGAAATAGTGCTGGAAGCTCTCACGGAATATTCTAGCTACTTCGTTATTTCCATTGTGTAAACTTTATTAACTGCCGAGTTTATGCTTCAACTGCTCAGTTGATGCTACCCATATTTAAATGAAATGCAACACGATTCAAGGAACGACTCCTGCCATTAAATGTGATTATTATTGTTTAAAAAATATATACACATCATTTATTTTAATTATAAAAACATTTAATATACATCATATAATTTTATATATTATATATATAATAATATTATTTATATAATTTTACTTCAAACCATGCCAGCTTTATTATGTACTACCTTTAGTAATAGCTTATGCCTTTTTGCTTACCCATTGACTTAATAAAATTGTTTCAATGAAATTGAAATGGATTGATGTCAATGCACATGGTTTAAATCTGTTGCTTGCTTAAAGCCCTCAACGTGTTATCAATAATTCAAAATACATATATACGATTGAGTTGAACAAATTGTTTGCCGAGCAGAGAGTTGATGTATTGCCAATTTATTATTATATGTATTTAAATTGAGCTGTCGGTATGCTGGGCCTATCAATGGAACTGTTGACAATTTGCAATGTCAATGGCATTACGGGATCTCGATTGCATTTCATTTGCTTTAAACAGATTTGCATTTACTTTGCCTGATTAACATCGATTTCGGTTTGCGCTTTGCATTGCATTGCAATTGAAAAACTTTGCCGGGGTGAACCAAAAAAAAAAAAACTTCTCAAATGGTAGAGTCGTTCGACTTTTTCAATTGCATTTCAATATTAGAATCGAAAAGTTTATTAAAATGTGCGAGCCGAACTTTCAATGCAGATTGCCTCATTACGGGGCCAAGTGAAAACCAAATGGCAAACAAAGTTAACTGACCCAGTTTCCAAATACTTACTGACTGCCCCCAGTGGCCCATAATATCTAACCAAATGCATTAAATAATCGAATTAAATTTTTAAATTCATATTTGGCATGAGTAAATATCATAAGCTGAATCAGTCTGATTATATGGGCTGCTTGACCAGCAAACTTCTGCCTGCCAGCAGAGAGAGCCCAACTATCTGTATTTGGCCTATTCAGAAATCAAATTCACAAAGTTCACGACAAATCACTTTGCTGAGCAAACGTAAAAAATAAAATAAAAACGTGCTCTAAAGTCGCTAGCTAACTTTCAAATCAGCAAGAAAAGTTTTACACACACACAGATACACACTCACACATATGAATGGGCTGACTGGCACATGTGGCACGCCCACACAGTTGAACGCCCCAGTGATTTGACGGTAAACTGCGCAACGTGGCCAGGTCGGAATTCGTATTTAAAACTTTTCTGTTACATTTTTTTCACAGCATTTCTGCCCATGTCTTTAAGCAAATGCCCCAATTTGCATAGGCGTAAAGGCCAGGGGGAGCGGCCACGAACAACAAATATCACATCATGCTTGACTGATGTTACAAAACTTTTTTGTTTCTTTTATTTGCATTTCTATTTTTATTTCTGCAACGAAAAAGTTTTCCAATTGGAATTGTTTCAGCTCTCGATTGCACATGTTTGACTTTATAAATGTATGCTTATGTTCTCTAGGAATGAAAAAAAAAAGCAGCCAGAAGAGAGACTTAGATACTTCTCGGACAATTGTAATATTTGATTTGAACAGGAAATTGCGCCATGACAGCAGAAAATTCCTTGCAAAAAACAATGCGAATGGAAAATACATTGTCATGGAGCTGTTCTTAGAGTCTAAGCAAATCGATTGATTCATGGGTTCATTGACTGATTTTAAGACTGGGTCAGAATTGAAAATGGAGTATTGGCTGTTGTAGTATTTTTTGTTTGCCAAATTTTTGGTTTCAGAACTTTGGCTAATTCCATTTGGTTTATCAATGTGATTTGCAGAATAAATATAATAGAAATTAAAAATATAAAATATAAAATGTAAACTATAAAATATAAAATATAAAATATAAAATATAAAATATAAAATATAAAATATAAAATATAAAATATAAAATATAAAATATAAAATATAAAATATAAAATATAAAATATAAAATATAAAATATAAAATATAAAATATAAAATATAAAATATAAAATATAAAATATAAAGTATGAAATATGAAATATAAAGTATAAAATTTAAAATATAAAATATTATTGTTTAATAAATTTGAAATAAAATAAAAATAAGAAAAATTTGAATTTGTGTACGCTCTATAGAACGTCCCGGTAGATCTTTAAACTGCCTTGGTAATCAGATGGCCAATTACAATAGATAAAAATAAAATGATGTTGTAGCTAACTGTTCTTATGCAAACTTAAAATAAAACTAATTCAAGAAATATTCCCACTCATATTGCTTTGCTATGATTATGCTCAGATTGACAGCGTTTCGTCTAAAATAATGAGTATGATAACAATGTCAATCCTGATGCTATGGCAACCTGCACAAGCACCTTCACGTGCCAATTTAGCAAGTTTGCAACACCTGAGGAATGTTGGCTTGTTGCAAATTCTCATTGAAATCCAATACTGGCTAACGCTAGCTATTTGTGCTGGACGCCAAACCATAAAAGCGAGAATTGTTCATAAATTAAGCTAGACCAGGGGCCGGGACAGGAGCAGGAGCAGGGACACCAGCAATGCCCGTTGCCGTGGGCTACAGTGAATTGTTTGTGGCCCGAATTCGAGGTGTAAGTGCCAAAAGTTCAAAGTTCGAAATTTGACGTGTGAAACTTAAATGTAGCGTCATTTTCACTTTACTCGCCTTTTTCTCACTTTTTTTTTGATGTTTTTCTTGTTTTTGTTGCAGCAAATTAAAAAGTTGCAACTTTTAACGCAATCTGCGGCGCTGAACCGCGAGACAATTGCTGCCTCACAATTGGCCACATCGACAGGCAGCGGCGGCGGCAGCCAGACGACATCCTCGGCCACGGCTGCTGACAGCTCGACAACTTTGACCGCACAGCGGGCGAAGGGCAGCGGCAGAGGTGATGGAATGAGTGCTGGTGACGCTGGCAGCGCTGCCAGCAAGCTGCTGGGTAAGAGTGGAGCAGGTGGAGCTGGTGGAGCAGTTGGCGACGGCGGAGCCGCAAGCATTTTGACAGTGGACGAGGACACATTGTCGCTGGATCGGCTGAACTCATTGCGCATCTACATGACCTCAGTGAAAACATTGCCGTTCAATTTACGCATTTACGGGTGAGTTGAGCACACCTGAACACAATCGAGCACCAGGTGCATCGCATCGCATCGCATCGCATCGCATCGCATCATTTCTGCTCAATTTCCGCATTTTCCGTGCTTACTTTATCACACTCATTAAATTTGTTTACATTCTGTTAACTATATAGCTTAAAATAATATTTAATTTACATTTTTTATATGTTTGAGAACTATTTAGCTTAAAATAATATTTCATTTAAATTTTGTAGTATGCTTTAGAGTTGATAAAAAAGAGTAAATATAAATTTTTGGTTAACCAACAAGAAGAAGTCTGTCTATAGAGCATAATTTCTTTATTAATATTTTTTTTGTTATGTAGTTCAATTTACTGCAATTTTTACATTCCCGTTTGCCCGTTGTTTTCATGAAAATATTTCAAATATTTACTTCAATTTCCGGCAAATATTTTACTGTAAAATATTGTATTTCATTCCAAAATTTAATAATATTTAATTGATATAAATATGTTTGTTTTTTTTATGTGAAGAAGAAAAAATATATATTATTTTAATTCGTATACATATCTTTCCAAAATTTAATAATATTTAATTGATATAAATATTTTTTTTTTTTTTTATGTGAAGAAGAAATATTATATAATGTTTGTATATAATTTTGATTAGTATACAAATATATTATATTATATTTTTGATCAATTATATATATATATTTTTTTATTTATTTATTTATTTTATATCAGTATACAATTTATTGTCAATTACTTTCAATTTTGGAAATGGGTTTATTACAATATTTTCATATTTATGCTTAACATTAAAGGCATTTTTTTCATATTCACTTTAAAAATATTTACTTAAATAACAATAATAATTTACTGTCATATCAGGAAGCCGTTAAGGTCTTTTGATATAAAACTGGTCATTAAAGCCAATATCTTGGCCACGGCAGACCTGAATCTGGCACATGTTAGGCGCTTAGCATAATTTCATAATTAGAAATAAAGGCAAAATGCAAATTTTGCAGCCCAAGTAAACATCATACCTCACTTTATGGTCGCTTGATTAATATACACAGGCAGGGGCAAACATTTTCTTCGCTTCTTCAGTTTCTTTTCCTTCTTTTTTTTTTTTTTTTTTTTTTTGCATTTCCTTCTAATGGAAAATGTACTTTATGGGCAAACATAAATAAAAAAAAAAATAAAATAAAAAAATGAATGCATAAAACAAGCGCACGCGCTCGCTTACTATAAAAATTGCTCATAAAAATTCCAACTTGAAGGACTTTTCACAGGATCTGGCTGACTAGCAGCCTGACTGGATGTCGGTGTTGGCCTGTTGAGATGCCTTGGCCACTTTGCTGCACCGAGCTTAGCCTCCTTCAAGTGTCTCATTTAGCTAATTAAGAGTGGCCTGCCATGATTTAATCTAACCTGTGTGCACTTCTCTTTCGCAGCGAGGACCTATTCTCGGACCAACTTTACATGGACATCGGACTGTCCACGCGTCTGCTGCATATCATGGCCAATTCGACAATATTTGCTTCTGTGATCTCTTATAAGAATCTTAAAAGTTTTCTACCAAAAACTTACTACACGCGTGGCAGGTGGGTAGCAAACAAACAAAAAAAATATATTAATAACCTTTTTGAATAAGATTTTTTTATATATACGTTAGTAATCAGCTTAAGTTTTAAATTTTCAGTATCTTATAATAAAAGAAAAAATAATAAAATGAGACAAAATATTTTCAAAAAATTGTATTTTAATTAATTATTAAAAATACCATCTCTCAATTTAAAGAAAATATTTATCAAGAACTAACTTACATTCTCACATTTCCCACCCTGATTGATTTTAATCCACTTTAAAAACGAAAAAGTTTTTTTTTTACAATTTCAGTGAAAATAATATTTTAATATTTTTTCTTTTCACCAAATTTATCAACACATAAAAATCGTATTTTTAAATGTAATTCCAATTAATTAAAGCTTGCTGCTAATTTCATTAATTGCATATTATAATCAAATGAGAGAATTTATTGCAGAATTATTTCACACGTTCCATCGACAGTTTTCCCACACACATTTTCTCGTTTTTCCCCATCAAGTTTAAAGAACGAACGCAGTTTCATTTCAATGCATATCTGTAAAAATAATTCTGTGTAATGCCAAGTGTTGCCGCACTGGAGATTCCATATTTCATAAGCGCATTAAAGCAGCTGCAAAAAGCACCAGCGCAATGCTGTGTAAAGCTGTTAGTTGGTAAACAACATGCAAATAAGCTGCAAGCAACATGTAACATGACACAACAACAACAACAATTACTAAATATTTGCATGGCCAGAGACCGAGCCAGAGCAGAGCTAGAGATTTGAATCTGGCATGAAATGGAAACTAGAAATAGTTGCCAATATGCAGACAAATGTTGATTAAATTATAATGAACCACAGAGACACATATGTGTGTGTGTGTCTGTGTGTGTCTGTGTGTGTGTGTGTGTGTGTGTGTGATGAGCTTAATGAACATGCACTCAACAGCTCGTTCTTGATAAGATTAGCTGAAATGCCGAATGACAACTGCCATTGGGGCATGGCAATCAGCAGCTGTTATGGTATGCTAAATATACTAAATAATACCAAAGCTGTGTGAGAGATAGTAGATGGCATAGGGATTGAAAAGAGGATTATAAGTATAAGCTTGTGCAAGGATAAGAGGGAACATTTATAACAACTGTTAGATAATTTAATTTGTAACTAGACAAAGCAAATTAGTTAGCCTTTAATTAGTTAAGCATATTTGGCTTTTACTTTAAAGTCTCCTCTCTGTTTACAGCGACCCCAAGGACTCGGACTATGTGCTGGCCTCGCGCATCATTCAAACTTGGCTGTTTCAATCGAATCGCTCGAATGACAATTTCCGCGAACCCCTCGACCTGTCCTTTGAAGCCGGCCACGTGGAGATTATATTCCAGCACGAGAGTGTGCCCAAAACGGGCGACTGGGTTGCCGTCTGCGGGTAAGCATCTATTGTATAACATTTCAATGATTTCATCAGTAATATCAACTGGCCCCATGTGCGCCCAGGCACGACTACAAGGCATCCTTTGACTCCACCTGGCGCTCGGATCTCTGCATCACAAAGCATCTAATGGAGAACATCACCCGTTGCATCTGCCCGCTCTCCGGCACCTATGTGGTCATGCTGACCAAGAGGCAACCACACGTAAGTAAACAGAGAACACTAGCCAAGTTTATCACTCGAAGCCTAATCCCCCAAAGCCACAATTTGGGAAATAGTTTCGCAGCATGCAATTATTTGCCAGCAGGAGAGAAATCACTGCCTCAAATCCAAATATTTAGGCGGGCAACATAATGTCTCTAATGGCTAAGAAATTAAATTAAAATTGATATTGGCATGCATTTAATATTTAATATATATTTTCATATTGTTTACATTTGATGATTTTCAATATTTACATACATAAACATAAATATATATTGGGAATTCAATTTAAAGGCATTTGAGCTCTGCACTTAAACTCAATTATGTTGACTTGCTAATTGAAAGCATTTAATGACATACTTGTATTATTTTAATTTATATATCATTTAATATTCACTTAGACATTTACATTTACACTTGCTAAATGATTTTGGATAATATTGTAGAAAACATTTAATATTAATTATTTATTTTTATTTTATTTCATAAATATATAAATATATAATTTTAACTGTGAGTTTAATTCAAAAATATTAATATTTTATATAGAATTGAAATGATTAATGCTTAATTATTTTTATATTTTTATATTTTATATATACTTTTATATACTCTTTTTTAATTTAAATTAATTTTATATCTTTTATAGGCGTTTGAAATAGAAGTTAAAAATAAAAAATTGAATATCAATGTTAAACACTGTATATATTTATATGTACATATATATATTATATTTGCTCATATTTCATTACACCCAATTATAAAAATGTATATCTATAATAATTTGTATTTAATAAAATACTTGCATGCACTTAAATATAAATATTATTTATTTTAAAATACTTTTCTTTTTGTGTTTAAAGAATTTTTAATAAATACTTTTTAAATAAATATAATTCATAATAATAACATATATTTATTTAATTTCATTGCTTTATCTCATTTCAGTCGTCGCAGTCGCATACGCCCCAGCGGCCCATCTTTGTGATCGTGAGCTGCGCCCTCTGCCTGCTGCAATGCTGCTGCGCCTTTCTCATCCTGCTGCCCATTTGGTGCAATCGGAAATGCGCCGTCACCTTTCTGAAAATGCAGTTTTGCATCTCCACATCAAGCGTGATGCTCATCTATCTGTTGGGCTTCATGAAAATGCTGCCGGCGGTGAGTAGAAATACAGATTGATAAATTTTTAGATATAAATTTAATAAATGAAATCAGCTCATTGAACACGAGTAACACGAAAAGCAGGTATTGACAGCAAGGCAAACCGAAGTGAAGAGTTTTCGTGTTCATTTCAAATTTAATCAAAGCAAAAATTATAATTGTGAAATAACAGGAATTTGATTTCAGTCCCATTAAAAACTCTACTCAAACAAGAAAATGCAGAAAAATTCATTGCATACTTTTAAGCGCAGTGCGTTAAAACACAAGCTGCCATTGTGGTTCACTCTCCCTCTCTCTCACACACACACGCACGAGCACCGCCTGCCGCAAATGGGCGACCAAGGCGAAAAATTTAATTACGGGGAAATAAATACTGAAATGAAGGCAAAACCAAAAATAAAAGCTATAAAAAAAAAAACAAAAGAAACCAAAAACCGAATGAAGCCTTAACAAACTGCAAAAACAAATATTTAAAAAAAAATGAAACTTTATTCGATGCATAGTAAAGTATATTGAGTTACAGTTCCCCCATATACACTGTGCAACAAAGCAGGGGCCGCTGCTTAAATGCAAAGTCGAATTGAAATTAGTTCTTAGGCCTTCTTCTATTTTTCTTGGTTTGTTAACTACAACAAAAAGCCATTTACCGGGCCCTAAATAACAATCAATGCTTTGTTGTATTTGCTCTTGGCTTAGAAACTCGGCAATATTCTAATTAGAAATTTTCGCAGGAATCCAAGCATGAATTCCACTTTTCATGAAAAGTAATCTGCCAAAATTCTCCCCAGTCCAATCACAATCACAATCATCATCATCATCAACATCATTTGCAAAAAGAAATTAGCTTGTCGTCTGGCAAATAATGCGCCAATAAATGTACGAAGTCAGGGCCCGGGATTTGTAAATATTATAATTTACAGTTCGTTACACAAAATCCATGAAATAACAGAGCGAAGGTGCTGAGCTGTTCGCCCACCTGTTGGCCTGTCGCACCGAATGAAAGGAAATTAAAAACCAACAGCAACCAACAACCAACAACAGTTCTCCAGAGAATCAACTCGCTAAAGTCGAAATAAATATTAATAAAAGCGCAAATTTTCAATTTGCAAAGACCCTGAGCATATAAAATGGTTGAGATCGGTCCGAAGAGCCGTCAAAAACTCATTACCTTATGGAGCCTTTCAGTCCCAACAGAATCCACAAAATCTTTTGAATTATAAAGCGAAAAGTGCGCGTCTCAGCAAAATATACAAATTCATGCTCGCTAATCTCCAGAGGTAGCCTGGCCGAGCGAGCACAGCAAAGTGAAACAACGATGCGAAAATCTCTAACAAGATGTTACATTTCTGAATTAGTAATAAACTGGGCCGCAGCGCAAAGCACGAGCAAAGCCGGGGCGAAATAAATAAATGAAAAACAAATAAAACGCCAGCGCGACAATAAAAACTGAAAACACAATCGAAAATGTTTGTTAAGAAAAACCGACAAAAGTTGACAAAGAACGGAAGGGGGAAAAGTCGCTCAGATAGATAGAGTGAGTGAGAGAGAATGTGAGATAAAAAGAGATAAACACAAGGAAAAGAAGTAAAGTGATTTGGCTGGAATTGGTTGACTGCAAAATACCCTGAACTTTTCCATAGAGCTGGTATTACAATGCTTTTATGCTTCTCTTACTCAGAGAAATCAGGACAAGCACACACACGCACGCATATATCGATAAGTTCGAACTATTGAATAATTATAATTTTAAATGTTTTCATATTATATTATTTAAAAATATATTTCAAATGCTAGAGATCTGCGCTTTAGTAAATACACACATACAGTTAAAAAAGCAGTGCGATTAAGCACTATTTGATGGAGATCAGAGATAAACTCAACAGGAAGGAAATAAGTGATAAACTCAGCATTTTGGGGAATATTAAGATGACCATATTTTGTTTTTTATTTATGTTTTAGACGTTAGAGTTTATATAATTTGTAAACAACTTAAAATAAAGCAAAGGTATATTTGGTTTATATTTTATTATTGATTTTAATATGGATGAGTTTATCACTTAGTTTTGTCCAACGTTCTCAGTAAATGTATACGTACATACAGTTATTCGCTAAAGAGCAAGTCTCTCGTATTTAAAATAAATTTAGTAGAGGGAATTTTAAAGACAATAAAAGTCTAAAAATTACAGCAACAAAAAAATAATTAAATTAAAACAATAATTAAAGCCATGTTTTTTTTTTCGAAATATATCAAAAATAAGGAAATTAATCGAAATGTCGATAAAAAAAAAAACAATGATAAATGTACTGCACATGCTATACAGACGATATATATTGTATATATAAGTTCATTAAAAACATCATATCTCTAGCTTTTGTGATTAACGTGATCTCTACGTATACAAGACATTTTTTATTCGTTATTATTTACTTAAAAATTAATAGGTAATTAACTATGGACTTTTAAGAAAATAATTCAACTATGTTATACAAGATATTTATTAGTATAAATACATTTCAAATCATACATCTGTAATGTGATCGTTACATTTATAAGGACAGATGGACGGATAGACATACATACAAAGCTGGGAAGATTCAGCTTGTCGTCTAGATCACGAATAAATATATACTTTTTGTATTCTATCACGTACCTGTAACATACACTCTCACAAAACCGATATACTCATTCTCACTGAGCGCAGGGTATAAGAACTTTTGGACAATCGTCAGAACTACGCCCGCAAAACCCTAAAACAACACGTTGTGAAGCAAAATGAAGACAAAGTTTCAAACGGAAGAGGGTGTGGGAGTGTGTGTGTGCGTGTGTGTATACAAGTGTGCGAGTGTTTTCTAGTGCTCTAGTCAAGTGAGCGAGGTCTACTTAATGGCTGCACAAAAGTCGACTCGACTCGACTCAAGTGCAATTCAAAGCAAACGCGTCCGAGTGCGAGTCCTGAGGCATCTGGCTGTCACAATTTGGCGGTGGCGCGAGAGTCAGCAACAAGCGGTAGGTCGGGTATGTGAGTGTGGGTGTGTGTTCGTGTACATGTTTGCCACGTATTCCATTTGGCATTTGAAATCAGCTCTTAATGAGCAGCTGACGCAAAGACGAATTCGCGGCCAGCGGGCAGTCGCTCAATGCCAAAAGCGCAGCAGATGCGTGCAAATTTACGAAAATGCGAAACAAGTGCAAATTAAAATTTCAATTAAAATAAAATAAAGGAAGAAGAAGAAGAAGAAGCATATTACATACACAGTACACAAACACGTGCAGTTCGCTGCAAAAAACATATGCAAATTTCATATTGCTCAAAAGGACACGTGTCAGAGCGTGTGGGCGGACGTTCGACGGCCACGCCCATGTCAGCGCGAACAATAAATAAAATTGAAATGTATATTTGCTTTTCAATCATGCCATATGTATTTGTGTATAAATAAATACAATTTGCAGCGCCAGTTAAAAATACATAATAAATAACGCATACGCCAGGGAGACCCACGAGAGAGAGTGAGAGGGCGGGCTGCGAGCGAGCGAGACAGGCGAAAGCTTTTAAGCGCACTTAACTTATAATTTCGCATAAATACAAAGCGACGCCGTAAAATATTCGCGCTGAGAATTGAAAATTAAAAAGTTTACAAATTTATTTTACTGCAGTCGGGGCAGACAACAAAGTCGCTGACCTCCACGCTCAGATTCCAAGAAACCAAAAAGCAACAGTTACATATAAAAATGAATGTGTGTGAGTGTGTGTGTGTGTGTGTGTGAGTGAGTGTGAAAGAGAAATCCTGTTAATGTAATGAACTGTGGCTGCCATATTAAAGCCACAACATTTTGCTTTGGCTCCAACCACAGCTCAGCTTCTCTGAATGAAAAAAATAATCTCTGAATACTATATTCTAATTCAATATCAGTGGGTCGTACACGTATTTAATGTCTACTAGCTTGCAATTTGGTTAGCGGTTATTGGCCACGTAACCACAAGCACAAACCAAACATGACAAAATATAATGAAATCATGCGCTGTGGCTTCTGGTTGTGAGTGGAGTAAAATGAACTTTGTGGCTTAAGCATAAGCACAAGTCGAATGGCATTACATTCTGAATTCTAGTTATGAATATTGGCAGCTGGGTCAGCTATTTGATGAGCTGATACAATATGCTGCAACTAATTGAAATGTCTTGGCTTGTATTCGTAAATACTCTACTTAATAAGAGATTAATACAGCATTCAATTCTTCTTGCTAAAATATTAAAAAAAAATTAAATTAATAAATAAATGCAATCCAAAAAAAAAAAAACGAATCCAATTTATTGTATTTAGAGATACACTATTTAATATATATTTATATTATTTTAAAATCTTTATAGTTTTATTTTAAAGAACAATTTTTGTAAACAAATAAAGTAGATACAGTTTTTATTAAAAAAAAAAAAAAAAAAAAAAAAAAATTAAATTAATAACCCTACCCAAATTAATAATAATTGGATAACTTTATTATAATTTATTTATATACTTTATATTAATCATTTAGGGATTTAAATTTATATTATTTTTTTTTATTTAAATATCAAAAAATATTTTTCTTTTTTTGTCCAAATTGAAATATTCTAATTTATAATATTTGCATACTAATTTCTATGATTCCACAAAACTATTTACTTACCTTGCTTGAATTAATATTAATTATAATGTTTCTTACATACGCAAAAAATATTTTTTAAATATTTGGTAATCTGGTTATTGTATTTAATAGATGCATTTCTTTACTTACATCTTCATACAAATCTCAAATCGCAGACCGCAGCAAGCAGTTCACACTGCCAAGCAAGCAGTTGGCAAGCAGTTCACCATTCTTAGCCATGTGAAAAGCTTGTAATTAAAATAAGTTAGAGCTCATTAAACAATTTATTAAAATGCATAGTTTACTTAATTATTATGAGTGCGAAACTTTTTAGAGGCTCGCGTGAATAAACCAAGCTCGAAGAAAATCTCAGCTCTCCGAGTATTATGTTCCTTTTTATAGCGCTAATAAAACATTCTGCCATTTGGGCCAAAGCTGGGGCACAACTTTTTTTGATAACTTTTTAATAAGTGATGTCCAGTCATTTGTTGGGATTGTAATGAAATAATTTATGCTCGAGGCACGCGTGAAATTGTGATGTCATCTTTACGGCTGACAGAGCAGCGGGAAATCCCAGTAAATAGCTGTGAAATACATAAATACACATAAAAAAAAAAAAAAAAAGTCAAGTAAATATATGCTGGATCGTAAATGGTATAACAGCAACTGTTGGTGTTGCCTTAGTTGTTGCTGTTGCTGTAAGGCGATGACAACTTTTTATATTTAATTAAAAATAATGATGTTGCAACGAAGTGGCTGCCAATCTCCCTTTTACTGGAGCGTTATTAATGCGCCACATAATTTCCTCTTTGCAGAACTGGCATGCCATAATCAGCAGCTCGCTGGCCTCGCTGCTGCTGCTGGGCATCTCCACGCTGATTGCCATTGCGCTGGTCATACACACGGAGCTGGTGCCGAAGAAGTATCTGCAAATCGGCAGCAAACCACCGACACCCACCAAACAAGCGGCGTCCAAGCGCCGCGAGAGTCTAAGTAATATTACGCAAATCAGCAGCGCTCAGTCTCCGGAGGCGAATGGCTCGAGTCGCAGTCGGAGTCGCAGTCAGAGCCGGAATCACCCACCGCCGAGTCGGGGCAGATCTGCCGCCGGGTCCTCGCTGCCATTGTCTAGCGGCTCAGCGGGCATACGCGGCGCCATCGGCATTAGCTGGCTGCTTCCGCTGCTGTTCGCCATTGCCGCACCACTAATATGCAGCATCATAGGCAAATGGCCGCGCCACTGGTGGCCGGAGCTGGTCTGGACGGGCGGCAGGCAGCAGACAGCCGCGGATGCCGCCAGTACGGACGGGGATGCCGGCGAGGAGTACGGCGAGGACGGCGGCGTCTACTATGCCACGCACTCGCTGCTCAATGCCGATAATTTACTGCTCGAGTCGGAGGCGCTGCTGGGCAATGCGACTGGTAGACGTCAGGCAGCTCCCACACTGGCTGAGCCGTCGGCCAATGCTCTCGCCACGTCAGCGTCATCAATCACAGTTGGCAGCGAGTCGAACTTGGCCGCTGTGACAGCTGCGGCATTGACTTGGCCGCAACAGCAGCTGCAGCAGGAGGAGAAGCAGCCATCCGTTGGCTGGATTACGCCCGGACACGCCGCGGCATTCACTTCCGGCACATCGGCAACTCCATCGCCGTCGCCGTCGCTGAGCTTCATTCTGTTCGTTTGCATCGATTTGCTGTTCATTCTGCTCTTCTGTGCGCTGTTTGTCATTTTAATGAAGAAGCTCTTGTGGCTATGGCACAAGAATCGCAATGTGCATGCCCATCCGCTGGATAAATTCAATATGGCACTGCGCAGGCGGTAAGTATTTGGATGTGGATGAGGACGAGGACGAAAACGAGGACGAATCGTATCCTACTCAGCTTTGCGCTGACAAACAACTATTACTATTAGCTAATGCATGGATAATGCTTTCTCAATATATATAGACTTTAGTTTGCTTTTGGTCCACACCAAAATCTAATTTCCCTTTTGCTGTCCAAGCTGAAAATGTTAATAACTGCGACCAGACGACGAGCATAAGCTATAAAATCAGCTCTCAAGCGGCTATGGAGCCCACACACAACTCCCAATGAAAGCGATTTTAATTTCCTTTATCCTCCCTCTCCCTCTCACTCTCTCTTTCTCTCTTTCTATAGACTTGGCCTACTTTATCGTGCCGGCGGTTTGCTGCTCGTAAAACTCTGCACCGATGGCTGCTTCATCGTCTACGTGAACTCAACGCCGGATACTTTATGGGCATATCCGTTTGGCATATCGTGCATAATATTGGTAAGTTCAGAGTTCGTATTTAATTAACCGAGCAGAAGACGTGCGCGTGCCACAGTGCGTATGCTTGATTGAGTTATGCGAGTGGCATCAAGTATATTGTCCTGTCCTGTCCTCGCCTCCTCTCGGCTTGTCGCTTGTCAACAAAACTATTTGGGGATTGGCGTCACTTATGCAAAGTGTTATATCTTTGCTTCTCTTTGTTTATTATCTTTGGCAAGTCTTTGGCGGCCTTAGCCTCTCTCAGCTCAGCGTCTTATGGCGCGTGCATATTTTATCAAAGTGCAAAGCCTGCATATTTTTACGCAGGACTCACAAATTATGCATGCAGAATCAACTGAGACACTTGGCACAGCGACCGACACGCCCCCTGGGCGACCGCCTTAACCACTTTCACTGGCTGCATTAGGCTTTACCTGGCTGCTGCTGTGGTCGCTCTGCCTCTTATCAAAGTGGCTAAGAGAAGCCCTTTTATATATTTTTTTGTTTATGCATATTTACTTTGCACTTGACATCGACTCCATTCGCTGAGCTTCTCATGTATTTTTTTTATTTTTTCACTCATTTAGTTTGTAAATTAGGTAAGTGCACCTGGGCTCAGCATAGGCATTTACCTAAAAGCAACTGCCTGGCCCATGTGTCTCTTTTATTTTGCATTATTTACGTTTCTTTTGATTTTTGGAGTTACTGAGTTATTTTAGTTTCTTTTTAATGTTTTAGTAAACAAAGTTACTAAAAAGAGTATGCAAACTTTCTCTTTTATCAATCGGAGAAGTTTCGTGTAACATTCTGTTTTTTTTTTTTTACATTTTTTTTTTTTTTTTAATTTTAATGGCTGATTGATTATTTATAAAACTAAAAAAAAAATTATATATCATAAGAAAAAATCTTAGAATATTTGCGTAGATTTTTTGAAAATATACACTCATAAAATAGTTAATAAGAATAAGTTTAGTTTAATTCTATGCTGAGATCACACATATATTTCTATTTTGGTTGATTTATTAAATAATATATCCATTAAATAAATAATTAATAGTAGTTTAATAAATAATAATAAACTACTTAAAGAAATACAATATTATAAATTGAACACTAATTAATAAATGCGAAAACAATAATCTTAAATATGTAGCTGAGAAATTAATTTACTAAAAATAAATACTTGTGTTTTTTCAATTATTATTTCAATAATATTAAGTACAAATATATATATTATTCATTTGGTTTATTATTCAAAATATCTCCAGCAGTTTTTAAATTTAAGTGATATTTTCAAAAATAAGTCTAGACTCTCATACAAAACTATTGATAATGCAACGCGTATATAAACTCCACGTGAATAAGTAAATAAAGCACATACAATGTAAATTTTATAAATCAATTAGGTATATTGCATTATACTTATCCATGATTCTGATTGCCGTAACTCGAAACATTAAAATAGCCTAAACACGCAAATGTAAATCCGACCAAATGCTGTGAGGCAACTCCCACACATGCCGGGTCCGGGCCGCCAACAGTCCGAGCTGAGGCTTTTAATATGACCATCAATTGGTATTTGGCATCGGCAGAGCGCCAACTGTGCCGGCCTCTGTTCATATTTAATTATTTATAACAACATTTAAAGGACCGCAACACACGCACGTAGCCAACAGACCACACGAATAGGCTATGGTCTGACTTCTGGAACGCAGCTCCTCGCACTGCAATGGATCGATTGGAGAATGGGAAGAGCTACGCTAATTATGTAATTAATTTCGCTGCAAATTTCAGAGCTTGAATGCCTAAGACACATCATTTAGTAGGAAACAAAGCAGGGAACAGTAAATCTATCCGATTAAAGACAGATTTAGTGGGTAGCCCAATCGATTTATTGGTTAATATTGTATAGAGATGGTAAAGGTAGAAAGATACGAAATGAGAATTTATAGATTTATATTTCTTTATTATATATATTTATTTTATATTATTTATTATTATTATTTATTTATATATATATATTTTTTTTTTTTCAAGATTTTTTGTAAGACTTCTATATAAAATATATTTTTATTGTATGTTGACTACAAGTGATATTTAGAACTCCTATAAGATATTTGAATGATAAATATTTAGATTTTAATTTGAATATTTCAATTCTAATATCTACATAATTTGTTATATTCAAGAAAGAATTTCTATAATTTCCACTTTATAGTTTGTAGTTAGAGCGAGTTATATGGTAAAGCTCTAGCTGGCATAATGTCCCTAGTACCGTGCCCCTGCTCTTAGCGTACCATAGCTTGTACCGTACCGTACCTTGTACCAGAGTATACCTCATATTGCGCCGTCTTATACAGTACTCTTTTATAGATCACCAGATTGAAGCCTTACTGATACATTGTGCGTATCAGACAGAATAATCTATAGGACATTTTGAGGAACTGCATGGAATTTGTATAAGAAGTGTGTCTTCATAGCCTGTAACAGTATTTACATACCATAGTCATAGTCTCCATTGATATATCCAAAAATACAGTAGCCTTCAGGCAAACGATATTCTGGGCTCGTTTTGCGATGAAAACCAGCATTTTATTAAAGCGCGTATCGCCTGGCACCCAATTCATCTCGTAAACAGCTGCAGTGACTCTCTGACTCTATAAGGTGTGCAAATGATTAAACTAGATCAGAATTAATATTGATGCACTCACCGATTCAATTAACCAATCACTGAAAAAGCAGATCAAATAGATTTCTGATATGGCCGAGATCATGAAGAGCGCCAACTTAACGGTATGATCGGCACTCAGACCCAGGGTCATCTGAAAGCCCACGAAGCAGACCATCACCGAGGAGGTGAGAAAGTTCAAGAGCAAAGGCACTCCGAACACTGAATTCATTACATCCGAGAGTCTGTGAGAGATAAGAGTCTGTAATATGTCTATTCTCCATCGAGATCAACTCAAAAGCCTTGCCTCAACAGTTTGTTGTGATAGCGAATCAATTCCCGCAGCGCTGCCAAGTCCTGGGCGTAGCCATCGGGCTCGCTGCCTGCTTGAATCTTAAACTCAGCCAGAGATTTCGAGAGATAATCGAAATGCATAACTAGCTGCGTATTGACGGCGGTTATTGAGAGATCCGCCGAAATGTGGCCCGTGGTCGCAGTGTATGCGCCTCCGACCTGGAGTAGATACATGAGGTAGTAGCTCCAATTGTCGTGATAGTTCCAGGGCGATGTCGGAAAGAAGGGCATGCCCTTCTCCACATCCGGCACGTGGAGCAGCCAGTGTTGTATGGCGTATCGCACATAGGTATAGAAGCTATAGGTGACGACTAGCACCAGAAAGAGTCCGCTAAAGGAGCGAAATATGAAGCGGCAACGTTCCTTATAGTACAGCACTCGATAGTCGTCCTGCTCCTTGCGGACTGCAGCTGGAAAGATTGACTCCAGCTCGGCCACCAAATCGTTCAGCTTGGCCTTCTGACGCCACACGCTGGCCGTCTTCAGCTGGCTGACCAGGACGAAGCCCAGATAGCAAACTGTCATGCAGATCTCTACAATATGCTCGGGCTTATTGAAATAGAGCACGACATAGATGAACTCCATTAGGAAATTGAAATTCATGTTCAGCTGATTCAACAGAAGGATAATGTATAGCCAGTGACTGGGCACTTTATTGAAGCTGGGCGACTCATAAGGATCCACGCCCAGCGTGTGGTAGAAGAACACGGGCAAACTCATAAAGTCATTGAAGGTGGCAAACTCCCCGGGCATGTTGTCGACGGTAATATCCTCAACTAATCCACTCGAGCTCTCGCCTGAAACTAACTGATGAGCTACTTGGACGTATAGCTACTATTTATGGATTTCTTTTGGCTGTTTGTCAAAGCCACAAAACTCTGTTTTGACCATTTATGAAGACCACAAAATTAATTATATATGCATAAATGTACTAAAGTCCTCTAATTATACGAGTAGAAAGGCAGTTCAGTATTTAGGAAGGGGGAGGGACATAAAATACGCTGATAAGGCGAATTGAAATGCTCAAATAATGTTTGAGCTATAAACTAACAGACAGATTTACTGTAACTTATACATATTTACATATATACATACATATATATGTACTTACATATATATACCTGTTCAATGAACTGCGTTTATACTTTTTGTCTTATTTATAGTGAATTTGAAACTCATGATAGCTAAAATTTTAATTAATTAATCAATTAATTTTTTAATAACTATACCTTGTCCAAAAGTTTATTTTGAATGAAAACGGTTTCTTACATTATGTAGTCGTATAAAAATAAACAAATAAATATAAAATAAAAAATGCCCTATTATTACAAATTTTAAAAATTTACGCAGCGGGTAGTATGTCTCAAATATGTAACTATTAAATGTTTCTACACGTCTTCTTCTTCTATGTACGTCTTCAAACACATACATACATATGTATGTAAGTGTGATTGTTTTACGCACACTCAGAGAATAAATTGAGAGAGAAACCAATTGTATCGGTTTCTTAACGAACTCTCTCGCGATCGGCTTTCACCGTTTTGATTTGTTTTGTTGCGCTCTGGCTGTTCTCGACCATTTGCTTGAGTTAAATGGAGCGCAAAGTCTTTTGTGTATGTATTGGTATATGTGCGAGTATCAATTGCGCTTGTGAATTGAGAGTGTGCATGGGAATGTAAATGTGAAGAGCGTTTGCACTTAAAGGAGCACCACACGAATAGTTAAACTCAATGCGCTCAACGAAAAAAGAAAGAGGCAAAGTGTTTTGTCCAGAGCGAGAGTGAGGGAACATGATTTTTATATTCGACTCATTAGGAGAAAAGAGCTTCATGAAAACGGTTAGCTGTTTGTATTCGCAAGGCCGTGCTCCAGCGCAGTCGCAACATAAATTGCGCCGTAGGCAAGGTGTGTTCTTCTTCTCATACATACATTCGTGAGCATGAGTGCGCTCTTCAGTCGTTTTTTTTTTTTTTTTACATATATGTACATATGTATACAT